CTATGCTCTCTTTCAAATGAGAATTACACTCCCAGAAGTGCTGTTCTATTTTAAAACAAGGTGTATGTGGCCTGTGTGCCTTAGTTTAAAACAGGAGTGGTTTCCTCCCTTATTTTTGTCCCCGTACCACTGAATTCCAGCAATTTGCACTAGAAACACCTGGCGGGTTCAAAGAGGGTGTGTGAAACTAGCCCCTGGGCCCACCAAAGTTGCCCAGCCCATGGCACAGAGCAGCCCCCAAAACAAAAGGCTGTGTCCTTTCCTGGAAGCAAGGGACCTTGAGACTGTGGTGCATGCACTGGTAACCTCTTGCCTTGATTTCTGCAATGTGGTCTACATGGGGCTACCCTCGTGCTTGGTCCGGAAAGTTCAGTTAGTTCAAAACATGGCAGCCAGATTGGTTTCAGGTACATCAAGGAGAGACCACATAACACCTGTATTAAAGTCTCTCCACTGGCTGCCTATTTAACATATAAAACCATCTCACCTATATTACATCAATTATAGCTCAATTTTCCTATATTACATCACTTTCCTTCTTCCTAAATAAACAATCCGTTTCCTATAACATGTATACTAAAGTCTCTCAATTTCTCATAATCTCTTTCCATTTTACCTCATATTGCTGTAACGACTTTCCCGTAGCATACATTGATAGACTATCCATTAGAGCTAATTCCACTGGCTGCCTATTAGTTTCCGGACCCAGTATAAGGTGTTGGCTATGACCTTTAAAGCCCTAAATGGCTTGGGCCCAATCTATCTCCAGGACCGCCTCCTCCCATATAATCTGCCCCACGCTCTTCGATCATCTGGGAGGAATTTGCTGCAGCCGATAAAAACAAGGCTGTCTGCAACCTCCCAAGGGACCTTCTCGGTAACCGCTCCTAGGCTATGGAATGGCTTGCCAGACGAGATCCGTCAGATTACAACCTTAAGCAGCTTTAAAAAGGCTGTCAAGACGGATCTCTTCCAGCAGGCCTTTCCTGACTAGACTTCCCGGCATCAGGAGTCCTCCATCCTGCCCTCTCTCACTCTTGTCTGCTGTCGCTGTGTTATTACCTTTATTAGTTAGTTTAATAGCTGTATATGTTATTGTGATTGGAGTTTGTTTTAGGATGCTTAATTAACATGTTTTAATTGTTAAATGGGTTTAATACTTTTTAAAGGGGTGGGTGGGTTCTGTGGTTTTGGGGTTGTATTAATACATTGTATGGAATTTTAACCTTTGTTAGCCACCCCGATTGCTCTTCAGAGGGACAGGATACAATTATTATTATTATTATTATTATTATTATTATTAAAAAGGGCCACTGCAAGGTCCCTTGTCTTTACTCCAGAGCCCTGAGGTTGTCGCTCACCTGGGCGTTGTCTGGACAAGAGGTTTTCGAGTGGCTCTGAAGGTGACAAAGGCTGTCACGGCTGAGAAGAAGACCCAGATGACCAGGAACCGCCACCAGCGCAGCTTCACTGTGAAGTAAAGGGGGACGACCCACATCTGGAAAAGGGTCACCATCTGTAAGAGGAGAAGGGAGACGTTTCAGGCAAGGGGGGCAGGTGACATGGCAAGGAAGCCCAAAGGGCAGGGTTCTACTTTGTTGTCATCACTGGACCAGATTTGAACCCGCATCCTGCAACTCCTTAAGTTTATCCCTTCCCTTTTTACATGGAGTGTAAAAAGGTCAGATCCTTTTTACATGGAGTGGAGGGAGGAATTGTGTAATTTTCCTGACATTGTCAGACTGCAGCACCCAGCATGCCACACTGTTAGCTATGTTGACTACAAGCAGATGGGAGCTACAATCCAGCAACAGCAGGAGAGGTGCAGGAGCCCCTCATTTTCCACTCTGGGACTCCCCCACTCCCTTTCTCCAGCAATCAACATTTGCATCAGTGGTGCTTCACAGCTTCCGTGTCGGTGGATTGGAGAATCTGCTCTGGGTTTGAGCCTGAACTTTAAGGGAGCTGAAGATATATTGTGGGGAAATGAATTCAGCACAAGCCTGAAACCCACTGCAGGCTCAGCACTGTAACAGCACGAAGGCCACTGGGTGTTGCAGGACAAGAGCCACCCCGTGGGATTCTGGGAGGCAGGGCAGGGCCAGCATATATCTAGGGGGCAGCTTACGTTGTAGGAGCGAGGGTGCCTCTGCTTCCACTGGACCAGGAGGAGCTGGGCCACCACCAGGGTGGCAATTAGGATCAGGACCATCTCGGCGTGCATGGCCTCGTGGCCGCGGTGCTTGGCGTGCATCCGGGCGTGCTCTACCCTGAAAGAAGGAACACAGGTAAGACTCAGCTGGCACCCTTCCTCAACTTCCTTGCCTCACCAAACCCATGCTTCTGCACAGCTCATGCTAGGCTGACAGAGCAGAGTCTGCACAGAGATGAGGCAGCGCCAATAGCAGCAGCACAGACCCTGTGTAGCAGCGATCGTGGCCTTCAGAATCATGGGACTCCCTAGAGGCATATAGGTTTCACAATTAAGAGCTGGTGAAGAGATGTCTGAGGGGGTGACATGACTGCACTCTTTAAATACCTCCAGGGCTGCCCCAGAGAGGAAGGGGCACGTTTGTTCTCTGCTGCCCCAGAAGGGAGGACCAGGCCTATAGGTTTGAAATCACTGGAGGGTAGGCTTTAACTGAACCTTAGAAGGAGCATCTTGACAGTGAGAGCAGTCCAACAATGGAACCAACTGCCTAGAGAAGTAAGTGGTGGGGTCTCCTTCTCTGGACGTTTTCAGAAAGAGGTTTCACAGCTTTAGCTGGAGCTCCTGCACGGAGTGACTCAGGATGCCCCTTCCAACTCTGTGATTCTATGATTCTATGACTGCAAAGGGGAAGGCTGGAATTCCATGAGCAGGGCTCTGCAGAACAAACCACTGTCCATTGGGCACACTTTCACAGACCCACAGCAAGACAAGAAAAGCCCCACCCACAAGCCCCAGGGACAGATCAGCCAGGACCCCTACCTCCATGGTTTACTCACCTCCATCTCTCCTCTGGGGCCAAGTGCAATAGTTCAACCTAAGAGACAAGAACCATCAAAGCATCATCACTGTGTATAGAAAACCATGCGTTCAACCCCCCCCCCCCAGTCATGGCTTGGAAGAGAGCGGTGGAATCCTGAAGAAGGACCGGGGGCCAAAATGCATTTATTTACTTCATTTGCATCCCGCCTTTCTCCAGACGTGGGACCCAGATTCTGCTTTAGTGTGCGGCTCTCCTAAAATCAAGCTCTCTGTACTTTTCAACTTGGGGCAGAACAGTTAATTGAACGTGTCATCTTGGGTCCTATGCAAAGACAAAGGTGGGATGGATGGATGGATGGATAGACAGATGCAAATCCCAGGACTCCACAGGATGTAGCCATGACAGTTAAAGAGGAATCATAGCTGTGTATAACTGTGTAATGTGAATGGACTCCTGGACAAATGTTATGATCTACCAGCCATCAAGTGAACTTTGACTTATGGTGACTCCATGACTGAGAAGACCTCCAAGTCACCCTGTCCTCAACCTCCTGCTCAGGTCTTGCAGATTCGGTACAGACTTCGGGCTTCCTTGATGAAGTCTATTCACTTGTAGCCAGACGATTGTTAGACACACAGTTTGCAGGCATCAGAGACAACTTCTCAACCAGTTATGCAGTTCCTTTACTTGTAAAAACTTTATAATGTAAAACGGAATACAAGAGGTAGAAATGTAAAGTTATAAGCATCACCAATAAGAATGAACTTCAGTGCAAGAATCCCAGGAACACATTTCTATGCAAGTACATTTCTTATCCAAATATATAAAGAATATAAGTAAAACAGAAAGATATTTCTATGCAAATATAACCAGAGCTTGGCAGGCTCAAGCACTTATTTCTGGCAAAGAGAGCTGCGTCTCTGTTCCCCTTTGCCTTCTGACATTCCTTGAAGCTGCTACCAATAACTATTGTGCCGTATCACAAATATCCCCCTCTTCCTTACAAGGCAGGTTCTAAGCATGCAAATGCATGGTGCACCTTTGAAACTTAATTTACTGAAGGTGTTTGCCTATTGCCTCTCCAGCATCCAGGGCCCTGGGGTGAAGCTTCTGCCAGCTCCAACTGGTGAACCTGCTGGCCAAGAAGCCAGCCTTACTGTGCTTACAGCTCTGGCCAGGCCTCCATCCACTCCTTCTCTTCTAATATGGAAGGCAGTTTGCACTCTTTTACTCTGAAAGAAGCAAAATTTGCTTTGAATGTGTGCTCTAACACATTCCAGCTTAGCATCTTTTCCCCATCAGTACTGTGGTGATATCGTTTGACTAGGATTCTGGGAGATGAGGGTTTCAATCCCTGCTCAGCAGTGGAAACACACTGGGTGACCTTGGGCAAGTCACAATCTCTCAGCCTTAGAGAAAGGCAATGATAGCCCCCCGCTGAAGAAATCTGACCAAGAGAAGCCTACAACAGAGTTACTGTAAATTGGATTCAACATGAAGTGTGTGTTTTAGCTTGAGTGTTGAACTAGGAGACCAGGCCAGGGTTTAAATCCCTTCTCAACTAAGGAAACCCATTGGGGAACCCTGGGCAAGTTGCACTCTCTCAACCACAGAGAATGGCAATGGTGGCAAATCTTCTCTGAAGAAATCTTGCCATGAAGAGCCTAAGATACAGTCGCCCAAAGTCAGAGTCAAAGGCATGTAACATTGCAACAGGTTTTCTCAGATGCATCTTGGAACTGTCTCTCTTGATCGGAAAGTGAGGCAATTAGGCAATATCTGTCCCAAGAAACTCACTCACTTAGCACAATTGACTCTGCAGACTCTTGCATGCTGAAAACAGGACCTGGAGAACAGCCCCATCCCTGGCGCCACTCCATCTTGGAGCCCAAACAAGCAGGAACCAGCCTGTTTTGCAAGAAGGCAAATCCATCATGGGGTTTTCTTGGCAAGATTTGTTTTTTATCTTCCTCTTGCTTTTTATCTTCCTCTTAGGCTGAGAGTGTGTGACTTGCTCAAGGGTTGCCATGGCTGAACGGGATTCGAACCCTGGACACCAGAGTTGCAGTCCAGTGCTGATGCCACTACACCAATCTGGCTCCACCGATAAATAGGTAGACACAAAAAGGAGAAAAGGAAGGGGAGGAAGAAACAGTTAACATTCATCAGCAACATTTCCACAGCGATCCAAGCACAGAAAGGCTTTCACTTGGCAACGTGATACCAGTTAGAAAAGAATCGCTCTGTTAACCTCTTAGGCACAGATCTTATCTAATGCCAGGTTGCATAAAGTTCCACCAATGTACCTTTGTGGAGGTTTTGGTAGAATGACCGCTGCAAGTTTGGCAAGGGGGGCAGAGGGGCTCTCCTGCTGTGCCGCCATCGTCAATCGGTGGGCATTTGGTCAGGAAAGAGGAGCTATGCCCAAGAACCGTTGAGTTTCTGTTGCATGGCTCAGCAGAAAGCGTTGTGTGTGTGAGGAGTAAGAGACAGCTCATCCCATTACTTGGATCCCATCCTATGATGGG